GAAGGAGGCTGGTAAATAGGCTTCTCCAATGCAATGTGGCGAGATTGGTCTCGTCACAGACTCTGTTTTTATTGGTTTGTTAACTTTTGTGTCCTTGTGCCCAAAGGGAAACTTGCATAAAAGGCCAGTGTGCCTCCATTAAAACTGAGTTCCTCTTCACCCTCAACTTGAGTCTTGTCTCTTGTGTTGAGGGGACAGATATATCACTACAAGGGATTGCTATAGTCATTATACTCCCCTGGATTTTCTGAGCTCTTGTAAGAGCTATTCTTGCTTGACTCTCTGGAGAAAGAGAGGTACATTACCTTGGCTGTCCCCAAGTTAAAAGGGTAATCCGGACATGGAACCTGTGCTCACTGTGCCTATAAGGGTAAATTAAGCTTAACATTTTTCTTGGGAAAGCTTAAGTGTGTAATAATTTTAATGCGGGGGGATGTACACTTCTTAAAGTTTGCTCACTTTGTTTCAGAGCACACGCTAAAACGATGTGTCCGAACAAATTGTTCCCCCCAAAAAATCATTAACTTTAATAAATGTACCCAATTTGCAATGTTACTTGACTGATCATCCTTCTTCAAATCTTGTCGACTTTCTTACCACTGGTTTCTCCAATGGGTTTCACACTGGCTTTGTTGCACTCCCCACGGGTATTCTAGAATACCTCAACTTACAATCTGCATTCACAGACCTGACTAGTCTGCAGGAACTTCTCAATAAAGAAATTGAGAATGGTTTTATGATAGGGCCCTTCACTACCCCACCATTCACTTCTTGGAGAACGAACTCTCTAGGCATAGCTACAGGTAAATTTAATAACAAGAAGAGACTCATCATCGATTTCTCAGCACCTCGCTCTTCCACTACCCCTGGTTTAAATGCACTAATACCATCAGAGGATTTCTCTTTACAATATGCAAAAATTGACCATGCCTTACAAGTTATTATTAACTTCGCCAAGGCAGCTCGGTTAAGCAAAACAGACATCACAACTACATTTAAACTACTACCAATTCATCACTCACTCTGGCATCTGCATGGTGTTAAGTGGGAGGATAAATACTATTTTGCGACTAGATTGACTTTTGGCTCCAAAAGTAGCCCAAAAATCTTTGATATTTTTGCAGAGACCTTGACCTGGCTCTTACTTAACAAAAGCAGATGTCCAGTAGTGATTTACTACCTTGACGATTTTCTCTCCATTGAACCACACTACTACACACTGTACAGTTTACAACACACACTTTCTCTATTTAAGGATTTGGGAGTTCCGGTAGCTCCAGACAAAACAGAAGGTCCCAGCACCGAAATAACTTTCCTGGGTATCATGCTAAATTCAGTATCCATGCAAGCTAGCCTGCCTCAGGAAAAGGTAGACGGAATTTTAACCTATATTGAAGTCTGCACCACTCATGGGTCTTGCACCAGGAAAGAAATTAAGTCACTACTAGGTTAATTTAACTTCGCTATGAGGATTATTCCTCGAGGAGGTTCTTTCAGCTCTAGAATACTCTCTTCTACACGGTCTCCCTAACAATGACTCTAGAACTATTTTAGATGAACCAGCTGACCTAAGAATGTGACATCTCTTTATCCTCTTGGAATAGCAGGTCCTTCTTCATTCCCCCCATCTCTGACGAATCCCCTGTAATATGGACTGACGCAGCAGGAGCCATAGGTTACGCTGCAATATTCGGTAACGACTGGGTATCTGATACTTGGTCACCAGAAACCTCTACCCTAGAGATTTTTAACGAGATCTCAGTACTGTTTGAAATCTTCCCAATAGTAGCTGCAGCCCACATATGGGGCAAAGAATGGAAAGGTAAAGCAGTTAGGTGCTTTTGAGACAACTTAGCAGCTTGTAACATTAACAAATGCTGCTCTCAATCCGTTACTATAATGAATTTAGTAAGGAAACTTACCTGGTTAGCAGATAATCTACAGTTCTGTGTCTATTGTATCCACGTACCAGGCATTCTGAATAACGCAGCTGACGCTCTGACACGTTCTAATCTACAGGAATTTTTCAGACTACATCATACAGCGAACTTTCAGCCCAAATAACCTGCACAATTCAAAGACCTATTTATGCCTAATTATGCTAAAGCATATGATCTGTTTAAAAAGTTTGTCCGTGACTTTAATGTAATAAATGTTTTTTTCTGTAGAAACTATAGTTGCATTCACAACTTTCTGCCACATTTCTTTGAGACTAGCATACAATACCATTAAATTATACTTGACAGGCATACAACATTACATGTTAACTATATACCCTAACAAAACTCCAATCTTATCTTCATATCCGGGCAAAAGTGTACTGAAAGGTATTCAAAAACCCCTTAAAAGACTTCCCATAGACAGTAACATCTTTAGGAAGATCTCTGAATTATTAGATAATAACCCTTTGACAATCCCACTAATCTGGTAATCAAGTCAGAGGCATATTTGGCATTTTACGGTTTCTTGAGACCCAAATAATTTTCTGTGGAGAAAGCATCAGACTTTAAGTCATGCCTTAAAGGACCACTATAGTGCCAGGAAAACATACTCGTTTTCCTGGCACTATAGTGCCCTGAGGGTGCCCCCACACTCAGGGTCCCCCTCCCGCCCACCTCTGGAAGGGGGAAAGGGGTAAAAACTTACCTTTTTCCAGCTCTGGGCGGGGAGCTCTCCTCCTCCGATCCTCTTCTCCTCCCATGCGGCTGAATGCGCACCCGCGGCAAGAGCTGCGCGCGCATTCAGCCGGTCACATAGGAAAGCATTATCAATGCTTTCCTATGGACGCTTGCGTGCTCTCACTGTGATTTTCACAGTGAGAAGCACGCAAGCGCCTCTAGCGGCTGTCAATGAGACAGCCGCTAGAGGAATTGGGGGAAGGCTTAACCCATTCATAAACATAGCAGTTTCTCTGAAACTGCTTTGTTTATAAAAGAATGGGTTAAGCCTAGCTGGACCTGGCACCCAGACCACTTCATTAAGCTGAAGTGGTCTGGGTGCCTAGAGTGGTCCTTTAAGCAAAAATACTTATCAAAAGTAAACAACCATTATATTCTGTCAATTCCTCATACAAACCTAGCCAGACAGGCCCCCCAGTAGAAATTAAGTATTATCCTACGTTTTCCAAATGATGTCCAGTAAAAAGCATTGGACAATTTAATTAAAAATCAGATCATAAAAAACCCTGATTACCCACTATTATCTCTTCAAGGGAAACCTCTTACCACCAAACAATTCATGCCATAGATCTGCACACAAAAACTCAGACAAGGCCCTGAGAGTAGACTACAGTAAAAACATACACATGATTACATTGGCTCTCAGGTCCAGGACACTCCCATACAAAATAGGCTAATCCGTCCCCTGTGCCTGAGAGAAAATTTGGTAAGGAACTGTACTAAATTTGATTATCTCCAGACACATAAAACATATTTACAAAACCCCCAAAATACCTTTAAACACACAGACCCCCCAAAAAAGTTACATCCCCTGATAGCCCCGATCTGGGAGACCAACATATCCACAAATAACCCAGATCGGTCCAGGAATTTCCTGGAAGTCATAATTTGACCGACCGCACGCATGGTCCCATGCCCAAAACAGTTCCAGAGAATGAGGGCTTGCGGTCGGTCTAGTTCGGTAGTTTAAAAACCGAATAAACTACCAAACATAGTCAATGTTCTTACCCTGGAGCTTGTTCACCTTGTTCGTGGGAACGTTTTTCACCGAACAGTGCCTTTTTAAGTTGTGTAAAAACGAACGCAGGCGATCCTCGAGGTCCAGCGGTGTTTGGGAGTTTCAGTGTCCGAAAACAGTTCCATGAACTCAACGACCAAACACCGATGCCTGCGTTCGCGGGAACAAGATGGCCGCCATCTCATAGTCGTTCATGCGAACAGTGGCCACCCAGACGAACACTTAAGACATTGCGGTGGAAAGTGTTACAAACTGTCAATTAGCCTTAACAAGCTCCCGGGTGGTCTTTGGTTTGCGCGCCTGTTTGGTTCCCGAACCAAATATAAAATCCCATGAACCCGGTATGTACATATAGTTTTTAAAGGGCCCATAGCCCTTTGGCAGAAGGCTGGCAAGCAGGCCCCTCCAAGAACACGTGGCAGAGGTATTTCTGCCACAGGCTGCACTCACCTTAACATGCATAAATGGGGTGCTGCTGGGGCCAATTCGTACAAGATCCACTACACTCACTCATCGACTAAAGAGCAACTTCTTAGCCCGCAGATTGTATAAGTTTTGTTTAGTTTTTTTTATACACACACAAACTACCCCCACACACTGAGCCCCTTACACATACACACACACTCACTCTGCCCTCCATACACTCACTGCCCATCTATAAACAAACATTGCCCCAGACACACTGTCCACCATACACACACACGCACTGCGCCCCTCACACACTGCGCACGCCACACACATACAAGGCGCGCCCCACACGCACTGCACCCCTCACACACGCACTGCACCCCCCACACACTGCACCCCTCACACACTCACACTGCACCCCACACACACACACACACTGCACCCACACACACACACTGCACCCACACACTGCACACACACACACACACACTGCACCCACACACACACACTGCCACACACACACACACACACACTGCACCCACACACACACACACACACTGCACCCCACACACACACACACACCACCACACACACACACTGCACCCCTCACACACACACACACTGCACCCTCCCACACACACACACACACTGCACCCACACACACACACACACTGCACCCCTCACACACACACACTGCACCCCTCACACACACACACTGCACCCCTCACACACACACATTGCACCCCTCACACACACACATTGCACCCCTCACACACACACACACTGGACCCCTCACACACACATTACTACCCAGGAAAGTTTTTAAAAATTTACTCGGGGAAGGTGCCGTAGTGGTTATTGTGCCTGTATTGTCCCTGTAATAATCTCCAAGTGCCCCTCCCAAGATTTGGTTCTCGATCCGCCCCTGCACATGTTAGAATAAAATCCAACCAGTAATTTAGATTGGCAGCATACAGAGTTAAAACAACCCTGTTAATGATAGGAAAGGAAAATACTAAACTTTTTAGACTATAAGCTTATTTGGGTAGGGCCCTCTTCACCTACCGTTCCTATATATCAGAACACGTTTTCACAGGATTGTTTGTGCTGATTCACATATTGCACAGCATACAGAATATCTGAATATGTTGGCAATATATAAATCATTGTAATTGAATCTTTGGGAGAAATATCCCTGGCTGAAAATTCAACATGCACCCAGTATGTATATACCTTTACAGGTGCTTTAACTGAAACATGTACCAAATATCTTTAAATAGAGTGTGTTTAGAGACCACATGGGAGCCATCTCTGAGGTCAGCACATGTCAGAGGTGCAGACTTCATGCTCTTTCACTAGACCACCAGGGATCCAGGATCCATGCAAGACTGCCAGAGTACGACCCCCACTGGACCTACAGGGGAAATGCACCAGAAAAGCAGAGCAGAAGGAAGGAGTGGCAAAACAGAGTACTACACAAAGTCACACTGCATACAGCCAGCACAAACCACAAATTACACCCAGCCGGCACAGACTGCATAACACTTATTACACATAGCCACCACAAACACAAGAGCAAAACAGAAGGAAGGGGTGGCAATTAAAAAGCACCACATAAAGACACATTACATATAGCCACCACACATTATACACACATACATAAGAAACCCAGCCGACAAACACCACATACACACTTATTACACCTAGCCGACAGCAATACACTATGGGGAGGACAGCAGAGACGACACTAAAGTCCACATTTGTGCTCATCAAAACCAAAAAGAAGATTTAGAGAATTTTTCCAGATGACCTATTTTTGCCTACAACCACTTTTTTTTTTGTATTTTCTACCCCCTTCCTCATTTTACAGACATAACAAAAGGCATCAGATCAATCCATCCTGCATTTGTTTAATATGGCCAGTTAGTATTAGGTATCTCAAACATTAAACATATATTACATGAGGTCAGGAGAATATCTGAAGAAATGTATAATTTGTCCCAGATATAAACGTGTCTTCTGATGAGAAAGATTTTTGATAAAAAAGGGGGAGGGGTTTCTTACCCAGAGAGCAGAGAGTTCTCATTAGATGCCTGCACAGCTTCTTGTATTCTTGATTTAAACAGTCCCGTTGGTCCTCGGAGAAGTAAACGCCACTTCCTCAAACGCAAATTGTTCCTAAATAACACATTATTTCCACTGTTACAAATCATCAATCTACAAACAGCAACTGCAGCTGAATTATTTATCTGGAAATTAACTCTACCTTTTACAACATATGTTCTCTCAGTGTCTTCCATTATAACCTGTTGGTTTATGACCCTTCAATATTGGTCATTATAGCTCACTTCAGGTATGATTATATGTCACGACAGACATCTGTTTCCCGGTCATTCTTAGCTTATCCGTTTATAGCTTTTTAGGGAACAAAATCCCGTTGCAAGTTAAAGGAACACTATAAGGTCAGGAACACAAAGGTGAATTCCTGACATTATAGTGTTAAAATCCCTGTTACCCCCCTAGCTGCCCTTACCCTGTTAAAAAATTAAAATCTAACCATTTTACAGCTGTATGGGGCTCCTTGCATTTGGCCCCACTCCTGATCCACCTCTATGGGTGACATCAAAACTGACTGTGACGAACGGCCTGGCACCCCAATTGGGTGCCTCCGCCAATCGCGGATTCCTAGTCGCCTTAAGTACTATAAGCACCGCACCAGACACCATAAGCACTGTAGTCCCTTAGCCGCCACAGCTTGGCTGGGGTATCGCTGTCCTGGATCCTTGACTTAAGACAAGGATCCAGCTTCCAGTGGGTGGACCTCTCCTCCTCCAGAGACTATAGCAGGTCTGGCTGTGTAGCTCTAACAAGAGCTAGTGATTATAGCCAGTATAGCAATCCGAAGCAGGTATAGTTGCTTCCTACAATCACGAGACGTGGCTGCATGTTGAGGGTGAGGTGAACTGACTTTCATGGGACCACACTTGGTCCCATGCCCAAAACAGTTCCAGAGAATCAGGGCTTGCGGTCGGTCTAGTTCGGTAGTTTGAAAATTAACAAACTACCAAACAGAGTCAATAGTCTTACCCTGGAGCTTGGTCCCCTCATCCAGATGAATGATTTCACCGAACAGCGCCCTTCTAAGTTGTATAGAACCGAACACAGGCGATGATGGAAGTCCAGCAGTGTTCAGGAGTTTCTGTGTCCAATTTTAGTTTCATGAGATTCATGCGAACAAGATGGGCGCCACCTCGTGGTTGTCCATTGGAATTGCGGCCACCCAGACGAACAATTAGAACACTGTGGTGAGAAATGTTCCAAGTTGTTAATAGGCGTTAAACTCCAGGGTGGTCTCTGGTTTGTGCGGTTGTTCGGTAACTTAACCATATAATCCCGAACAGAGTCTTTTTAATGTATTTTAGCCAGCTCTATTGCAAGGGCCTGGGGCAAGAGGCTGGCAAGCAGGCCCTTCCAAGAACCAGTGGCGAGGTTCTATTCACCACACTGACGATATCAGACAATCATAATGTGGGGGTAGTGTGTGTATATAAAAAACAAAGAATTGGATTGGTTATTGTCAATGACGAGGGTCAGGGGTGGGGAAAATCACCACTTTGGCCAGTCAGCATCTTCTCATACAGCATCAATGAATCTCTAAGAGGAAAGTTCAGTGTCTCCATGCAGAACCTGGAGACACTGAACGTCAGTGCTCCACAGTGTTAAACACTGACCCAGGAAGGACCTCTAGTGAGCAGCTGAGGAGTGGCCACTGGAAATGTCCTTAGGCACTAATGTAAACACTGAATTATCTCTGAAACGGCAGTGTTTATAGCAAAATGCCTGCAGGGACTGACTTAAGTCACCAGAACAAGTACATTAAGCTAAAGTTGTTCTGGTGACTATAGTGTCCCTTTAAAGGATCACTATAGAGTCAGGAACACAAACATGTATTCTTGACCCTATAGGGTTAAACCCACCATTTAGCAAACCAGATATAGTAAAATCTTACTAGAATTCAAGTCTGCAGTTGCATAGTTTGTCACTGTTTCCTTTTCATCTGCCTCTGACCTCTGACATCATTAGAAGTGGTAGCCTGATCCAATCACAATGATTCCCCATAGGATTGGCTGAGACTGACAAGGAGGCAGATCAGGGGCAGAGCCAGCATGATTCAAACACAGCCCTGGCCAATCAGTATCTCCTCATAGAGATGAATTGAATCAATTAATCTCTATGAGGAAAGTTCAGTATCTGCATGCAGAAGGAGGAGACGCTGAATGTTTGGATACATTTTAGGCAGCCATGACCCAGGAAGGATCTCTAACAGCCATCTGAGGAGTGGCCAGTGAAGTTATCACTAGGCTGTAATGTAAACACTGCATTTTCTCTGAAAAGACAGTGTTTATAGCAAAAAGCCTGAAGGTAATGATTCTACTCACCAGAACAAATTCAACTAGAAAAGCTAAAAATTTGGGGGAAATTGTGTGAAGTGTTCTTGCCTCCACCAGTAGTTTACAACTGGAGTGGGCGGAGTAACTGGGTGGGGTATCTGCGGTAATTGTAAGGCATGTGGACACTCCTTTAGAGCTTATAAGGACTTTGAAAGCAGACTTCTGAGGTCTTTAAAAGTAAGAACAAAATGTCATGTTCCTCCACACATGTGGTGCACCTGATCACATGTGGATGTGGTGCACAATATGTGGGGAGGACAGGCAGAAAGGCCAAGGTTAGGTGTCTGGAACACTAACAATATACGCAAAAGGGTTACCACTCATTCAGTCCCAATACACTGCAACAAATGCCCCTCTTTTGGAAATAATCTAAATTTTATAGCGATAGAGCAAGTTTTTTTTAGATGGTGGAGGAGGAGACCTTATATTAAAATGAAGAAGAAGCCCTCTGGGCCCTCCTACAGGACTCCTACCTAGACTGCTGACAATGATGCAGGACTGAATGTGGTGTGTATAGTGGAAGTGAATTAGAATGTGTGTAATGGATGTAGTGTTTGTGTGTATTAGATACTGTTTGTGCAGTGAATGCAGAGTGTGTGCTTGTGTAGCAGATGCAGTGTGTATAGTGAACGCAGAGTGTGTTTGAGTAGTGGATATAGTGTGTGTACAGTGATGTAGTGTGTGTTTGTGTAGTGGATGTAGTGTTTGTGTGTACTAGATGCAATGTGTTTAGTTGATCCAGTGCCTGTAGTGGATGTAGTGTGTGTATTAGACACAGTGTCTGTGTATAGTGAATGCAGAGTGTTTCAATGTGTGGTGGATGTAGTGTGTGTACTGTGAATACAGGATGTTTGTGTAGTGGATGCTTGTGTATAGTGAATGCAGAGCGTGTTGGTGCAGTGAATGCAGTGTGTGTGTGTGTGTTGTACTAGTGTATGCATGTTGTGTAAATGGAGAATTCCCCCCAACCCCCACACTAAATGTAATATCTGTTATTTCCCCCTCCCTGCTTCTTACCTGGTCCAGGGAGGGGGGAAGATTCCATCCCTGGTGGTCTGGTGGCATTGTGGGGCCCCCGGCTCCCTGTATTTGCAGAGGGGGCCCAGCAGACAGCAGCTGTACTTTACAGCTCTTCCCTCTCTCTAACTCCCGCGAGCGTGGGTTACCATGGCAACGCTCCGCACGGCACGCACGTTTGGGCCCCCTCTGCAAATACAGGGAGCAGGGGACCCGCGGCTGCACATATATATATAGCGATAATCGGCAGCGATCATCGGCACATGGGCCTGTGACAACCGTCATGAATGTCACCCTCTGATGGCGGCCCTCTATAAACCTATACCCCGATGTCTGAAGTGATCTAGGATGGATGAGTACAGTAAATCTCTAATTTCTCTTCATAAATGTAGCTAGTTGAAACACCTCAAATACTCTCTACTGTATAAAACTTATTTCTAAACCTTTAACCAGAAACTGGCCAAACTGTCACAAATTCTAAATTAGGATTTCTAGAGAAGAGCAGTTAAAAACAAATTGCTCACTTCACTGGCGGTTGCCATCTTCAAACGGTCGTATGTTAAAAATTATAAATCCTACAGCGATGTCCTACACCCATGTCTCTGAAGTATTAACAATGAAGGCACAGTCGCAGTTTAGAAATTGCCCTTCAAATTTGAGCTGGCTAGAATGGAGTTTCAATGAATGTCAATGGACGGCGTGAGTTGCAAACAAATGGTCATATTGTGTAAAATATCAGGACTATGGCTTAGCCATGGACATGTTTAGTGGCAGCAGGGTAGCTGAACGTTTTGATATAAGATTTGTGTAGGTGGGCCTGAAAATAAGGGAGTGGTGGCAGTTTAGAAATCATGTCCTGATTTTTCAGCTTTTGCCAGCTCCCACTCTAGTTTTGAACATTTTGCCATTCATTCCTATGGGACCAATTTCGCCACAAGAACGATGATATTCCCTGAAGCATTCGGTATATTACTGTCTATGTAGTGTGAGAAGTTAGGGTGGTAAATTTGGCTATAAGAATAATAATATATATGTGAGATAACAATAAGTGGTCTTGCTATGCAAGAACACTTAATAAGCTGTAGTTGTTCTGCTGACTATAGTGACCCTTTACCTTTCAAAACCTAACTTGACTATCACTGCATTAATATTGTAATAAACAAAACAATGACTAAAATAAATATAAAATGTGTATTGAATGAATATTACAGAAAGAAAATAACAGGTTAATAATCTTACAAAGAGAATTGGTGTGAAGAATGACTGCAGGATGTGTGCACTATGGATGAATGAGGAGGTCTGTCCTTTTACATGTTTATATAGCTGTATCTTTCTCCCAAAATGCTCTCACATGCTCCCTGCTATATGATGTAATGTATGGTATGTAGCTGCAGTCAGCAGACACTATCTATTGCTAGCTTCAAAAGTACAAAGTCAGGGTTTCTTATTAACCCTTTGATTGACAGGCAACACATGCTTTGTGCTAACTTAAACATGTAACCCTTCCATTGATGAGTTAACCTTGAAAAATGCCATGTGTCTGCAGTATATGCAACAATGATATGTTATACATTAAATAATAATGATACGCATTCCACACAACCCACAGAATATCTGTATCACCCTCTACCATATCATTTAGTTATACTTCCCAATTTAAACTAATTGTCTGACTAGTGGCAGCATTCCATTAAAGGACCACTATAGTGCCAGGAAAACATACTCGTTTTCCTGGCACTATAGTGCCCTGAGGGTGCCCCCACCCTCAGGGTCCCCCTCCCGCCCGGCTCTGGAAGGGGGAAAGGGGTTAAAACTTACCTTTTTCCAGCGCTGGGCGGAGAGCTCTCTGCCTCCTCTCCTCCTCCGTTAAGCCCCGCCGGCTGAATGCGCACGCGCGGCAAGAGCTGCGCGCGCATTCAGCCGGTCTCATAGGAAAGCATTTACAATGCTTTCCTATGGACGCTGGCGTGCTCTCACTGTGATTTTCACAGTGAGAAGCACGCAAGCGCCTCTAGTGGCTGTCAATGAGACAGCCACTAGAGGATTAGAGGGAAGGCTTAACCCATTCATAAACATAGCAGTTTCTCTGAAACTGCTATGTTTATGAAAAAATGGGTTAACCCTAGCTGGACCTGGCACCCAGACCACTTCATTAAGCTGAAGTGGTCTGGGTGCCTAGAGTGGTCCTTTAATGACTCATAATCCTCCCCACTACCCATCTCTTTCTCTCCCTCCATGCTGCCCCCCTCCCCATCTCTCCCTCCATGCTGCCCCTTCCCCATATCTCCCTCCATGCTGCCCCTTCCCCATCTCTCTCTCCATGCTGCCCCTGCCCCATATCTCCCTCCAT